GAGGTCCATGGCGGCGGGAGCTCTGGCCCACAATCGGAAACGAAAACGGCTCAAAGTGGTCGGCGGCAAGCCAACTCTGGCCTGGTGCCTTGGTGGCGTCGGCATACGACTTCATGCCTGTCGATCGGGGGGTCGAGCGCCACAGCGCCTCTCCTTCTGCGTTGATCATGCTTTCGACGTGGGCAGGCAGCGACAAGAGGTCCGTCGGGAACACCACCTTCTTCTCCAGTCGGTTGGAGAGGCTCGTCATGTCGACCATCATTTCGGCATGAGCTTGCTCCTCCGCGGCTGCCGAGCGCTCGCCGGGCGCCATGTAGCAGAGAACGGTCGCATTGTGGGAGAAACGCGCCAGCAAGTCGTGTAGTTCCCACTCGACGCTCTCCGTCACGTCGGGGCGCATGTCTTCTTGAACGCTCGCAATCGTCACGCGGTCAAGTGCCCAATTGGGCCACTTGCCCCACGCCTTCAGCGCCGCCTCCATACACGGACGCGGGAGGCCCACTTTCAGCTCGAGACGGTGCGTCGTCGCAGTCTCGACCAGCCAACTCGCAAAGGCTTCGGGTGGTGTCAGCTCCACGGCGGTCGTCTTGGTGTTGATACTGGTCTCCGATGCCACACGGAGTGTCACAGCCGTCGGGCCCGTCGACGACACGAGTCCAAGGCCTTTCGGCGGCCGTGTCGTTGTCGGCAGCACGACGCACGTCACCGCCTCGTCTTGCACCGTCGCCTCGGCAATCGAAAACTCGACCGAGTACTTCTTCCAGCTCGAAGCAAGGTCGTTCGTCGTGGCCGCGGCCGCCAACTCGAGCGCAGTCCAGTCAGCGTCCGTGAGGCAGCACAGCACCGTCCACGTCAGCGTCGTGACAAAGCGCAGAGCGTATGTCGCCCGCTCCCGCAGGTGCTCGGGCGCAAAAGCGCTGTCCAAGAGCCACGTAAAGAGCACCACCTTGGGCCGGACATCGGGAAGCACGATCGCGTACACGCCCTCGTCGTCCGCGTGCAAGTAGTGTTCGAGCTTCGTGGGCCACCACCCGCGCTGGCGGAGCTCGATTTGGACCGCAGCTTGCTTCCCGTAGCAGGCCACCACGTCAATGCCTCGATCGTCGCCGCACGCGTCGACAAAGCGCCCGAGCTGCTCTTCCAACGGCATCTTCTTGGTGCCATCGACAACGTGCAACGCGCTGAGGAGGCGGAGGAGCTCCGACTCGACGAGCGTTGGCTGGAACACGACCGCCCCCACGTCGTCTTCGACGGCCATGCGCAAGAGGTGGTAGCAGGGCAAGCTTTCGTAGCTCGTCGCGACGGTCATATGCAATGCCATCCTGGAGGTCGAGGGACAATCGCAGAATGGCGTCGGAAGAGATGCTCGTCCCAAGCAAGAACCGACCGTTGAGAATTTGGCGGGACAGGCCACGCAGAAATGACCGGACGCTGGTGCAATACTGCCGTTGAGCTGGGACAAGGCCTGCGTCTCGAGCCAGCGATCGCTGCTGTAAGATGCCCGAGGGCACGGCCTGTCGGTCACAGGATGCAGCACAACGAGCCAGAAGCTTCGTTTCGCGCGCGGTACCTTGTTCCTCTTGTGGTAAAGTCCATCCGCTTCGACCTGCAGCAAGAGCTTTAGGTAGCGTGACGAGGAGCGTGCGCTCCTCGAGGTATCCAGGGACGCGCTGCCCTTGTACTGCTTGAGCGACCACCAATGTCCATGGACGACGAGAGGACCTGCTCGCATCGCCATGAGTCTGCTTGCACCATCAACAGTGCTCATTACCGCTGCTTGGGACGCATCACGATCATGCGGGCGATCCCTACATTGGTTGTCTACCATCATCTAGGCGGTATGGTCCGGTCATGAAGGTCGCGGTCTCGTCCATCGCCTGCCTCGGTCCAAGGAGACCAGCCGGTGAGGGATCATGGAGGTCGCATGCGTCTTCTCGTCGTCTCGCGCGGGCTCCTGTAGGAAGCCCCTTCTCGACTCTCAAGGAGCGTCCTCCATCGTCGGCTTGCTTTTCGATCTTGGCGAAAAAAGCTTGCGTGCAAAACGTTTACACCTTCTCGTTCAGAGCTTGGCACAGGTTCAAGCTAATAACACCCAACTCTACCCTCGTCGGAGGAATGACCACGAACGAGCTTTCTTCAACTACGCTAGTACCCTCCGGAGCGCAAGGACTCTGTCGCTTCCATGAACACGGAGGTGCCTGCAGTGCTTCGCGTGTTTGGATGTAAGGATATCAATACAGGTGCAAGGAAATCATTTCGTCATAGCGTCATGGAAATCGATTTGCACGCAAATCACACTGCCGTTGGATCGCGCTCGAGGTCCTATCATCGCGCAGTGTAATGGGTAGTAGACATGGTGGGGATATTTGGCGCATCCGTAATATTCCGACGCCAATTTTCGGCGCAAGACTGACGCGTCGACGTCAAGACATTGCGATGTCCTCGTACTAGCTGCCAAAAGACGGTTGTCGCTCGATTCGATCGCAACAAGCCAATCTCACGGTCTACAGGAGCTCGACCAACTCGTACGTTTCTGTCGCGATGCGCAGAGATGCCAAGCATACAATTGACCAGTCGCTCGAGGTGTATTTCTTAGAGACAGCTCCGCATGACGCAGCGTGGAGCCGTTGCGCAGATCTCGACCACATTTGACGACGCCTGTCGTAAGCACACGACCACGACCGGCGGGTGTGAATGCGTGCCGAGTAGCCACGTTCGACTGCCTCTTCCATGTAGCTCTCTCCAGCGTGTACGGAGCGCCATTTCGCCTATCCTAGGATCGAATTGCGTCCATGGGTAGACTCTTCGACTACATATCAATATTGTCCACATTGCTCTTGCCTTGTGGACTATTTTGCACCCTCTCGTTAGTCGATTCGAGTCGATTTAGTATCTTTTCTAGTCGAGTGGCATCTTGCCAAGGTGTGTCGCAGTTTCTTTGGTTGCCATCGCATTCCGTACAATACAATGCAACGTACGGAGCGTACGATGCACTTCCAGCGCTGCAGCTGCAGTTGGCCAGGCTGTCCCTGCATATACATCCCGCCGACTGTCAATCCAAGACAAGGCCGACTTGAAGCCCAAGGCAATCGTCACGGGCGGATCGTACCCGGTATCCAATGTCGTTTGCAGGAGGCTGCACCGTACATTGCAGCCGTACAGCATCCAATCCCGTACACAAATCGAACGTGCTCGCTGCCAGCTGCATTTTCGCATTCGCTTCCGCAGCATGGCGTGTGCGCTCAAGACGACGGTCCTCGTGGCCGGCAGCCAGTGCCCCGGCGCCTGCAAGAACCAGCCCTCCGGCGCCTGCGTGCTCTTCAAGACCAAGGACCTCTGCAAGGCGCTGCCATCGACGCAGTCGGGCAACTGCACGACGGGCGACGAGTTCCCGCTGCAAGGCCCGACCGAGTGCACGCTGACGTACACGTGCCCGAACCTGCACTCGCGCACCGTCGACGACAAGCTGTTTTGGCACTTCTCGGTCGCCGACTTTACCATTAGCACCGCGTCCAACTTTGCCGGCGCGCCGATCGACGAGCTCGGGTCCTTTGGCTCGGACGAATTCGCGAGCGTGCAGTCCTTGTAATACGTCTCGTCCGACTCGCTGGCGAGTGCTCATACGCTTGTAGCCAGCTCACGGGCAACGGGTACACGTCGCCTAAGGGCTTGATGCGCACGATCACGTACCCGCCGGGCCTCTTTGGCACGGCCACGCACCTCACGCGACTGTACGGCGCCGACTCGCCGACGATGTAGGCTTATGCGCTGTGTGTAGGTACTTTGTCAACATGAACCTCACGGGAACGCTCGCGCCCGGCGTCACGGGCCTCCTGCCCAACAGCCTCAACCTCTTGTACTACAACACATGGCTTCGTCGCACGTGCCTCACGACACGCATCCTAGGTCCCTCGTCAACGCCGGCTTGACGTCGCTGCCGCTCGACATCAAGGCCATGGCGTCGCTCGCGGTGCTGTACGTTCCTACAGCTCCTTCCCCGCCGCTCACATGCGTGTAGCAACATGACGGACAACAATCTGGCGACGCTCCCGGTCGACTACATCCAACCGGTCCGCACGCTCCTTTTGGCGGGCAACGAGCTCACGACGCTCGCCGAGGTGCCCAAGAACATCCAGATTCTGTACGTGCATGCACGATCCTGACGCCGCCCTCATGCGCCATGGGCTAGGGACCTCTCGCGCAACAAGCTAACGAGCTTCCCGTACGCCGCCTTGAGCGCGACGGGGCTCACGGAGCTGTAAGCACTGTGCCATGGCATGTGCATGGCGCCTCATGCTACCATATTAGGAAGCTCCAAGGCAACGCGCTCACCAACGTCGTCCTGGACGACGCGCAGACGGCGCAGCTCCGGAAGCTCACAACGTTCGGCGCGGACTTTACCGTCACGTCGTGTCCGCCAGGGACAGGCGTTGCGCCGGACCGGCTCAAGGCCTTGACGAGCGCCCAGTTTTGCTTCAAGGGCGTCGAATCGGCCGACGCCAACGCGTCCATGAGTGCGTTCTTCCTCTTCCTCCATGCACAGCACCCACGCACGCGCGTCGTTAGGCTCGGTGGCCATTGTGTTGATCGCGCTCGGGTCGGTGGTCCTCGTCGCCCTCGGCGTCTTTTGCTTCTTCCGGCACCGCCGCCACGCGGGCGCCAAAAGCAAGAACGGCCGCCGCACGTCGCTGGGCACGGACGGCACGGGCGGCACGTCCAACCACTACGTCTCGGCCGACTCGCACTACCGCGACACGACGTCGCTCGGCCTCTTGAGCGACCCGGAGCTGCTCGCGGTGCGCATCGACTTCCAGGAAGTGCAGGAGATTCAGCTCATTTCCCGCGGCGGCTTTGGCGAGGTCTGGAGCGGCATCTACCTCGGCCGTCCCGTCGCGATCAAGCGGCTCTTGCCCGAGAAGCGGACGTGGGACGACGCAATGAACTTTGCGATGGAGATCAAGATGATGACGCGGCTGAACCACCCGAAAATCGTCGAATTTATTGGCGCCGCGTGGTCGAACGCGCTCTCGATCCAAGCGATCTGCGAGTACATGAACTGCGGCGACCTCAAGTCGCTCCTCGACCGCAGCAGCACCAAGAACGACTCGAACGGCACGGTGCTCACATGGGCCAACATCAAACTGCATCTCGCGATCGACGTTGCGGACGCACTCGTGTACCTCCACTCGCTCAACCCCAAGTTTATCCACCGCGACCTCAAGGTACATATTTTCTCCCACTTCGAGTCTAGAATCTAGAATCTCGAGACGCGGGTCTGTCTCACACTCAGATCTAGTCGCGCAACATCCTCATTGACGCTGAGAACGGAGCCAAGCTCTCGGACTTTGGTATCTCGCGCAACCGCAACCTGGAAGAGACGATGACCGCGGGCGTCGGCACGTGCCGGTGGATGGCTCCGGAGGTGATCCAAGGCGCCCACTACGACGAAGCGGTCGACATTTACTCGTTTGGCTGCGTCCTCTCGGAGATGGACACGTGCAACGTGCCGTACTTTGACGCGACGCACACGAACGGCTCCAAGCTCCAAGACCATGCGATCATGGCCGGCGTCGTCCAGGGCACGCTCAAGCCGAGCTTCACCAAGGACTGCCCGAAGGAGATTGTGGCGATTGCCGTCGCGTGCCTCGAGACAGACCCGAAGAAGCGCCCGACGTCGACGCAGCTCTCGTACCTCCTGCGCAAGTACCGCAAAGAGTCGGAGCGCCTCAACGACACCAACTCGACGTAAACAAAAGGCGGCGTATATATATATGTTTAGGTTTTGGTTTAGCTGCGCTGGTTGGGCTCGTCGCGAGGACTCTTGAGGCCCGTGATGGACGGTCGGCGGATGTCTCGAAAGATGCGGTACTTGGACGTGCTCTGGCAGCCGTCCTCCATTGGCAGACTCGTCGCGGGGTCGGTCGCGCTGTCGTCAAGGACGTAGTGGGGCTTGATGTCCCCCGGCAGGACTAGGAGGAGGCTGTAGGTGTACAAAAGGGTTCCAGCGTCTACCTCGGTATGTCTCAGCGATGTGGAGGGCGCGCACGCTCGAGCTCAGGCTGCCACGGACGTGCGGCGCATGCGTCAAGCTCTTGCGGAAGAGCCGCTCCCGCTTCTCGGCGTCCGCTTTGGCCGCTAGCAGCGCCTTCTCGTGCTCTTTCACTTCCAGCAACCGCTTCTGCTCCATGAGCTCCTGCCGCGTCTTGTCCCGGTCTTCGCGGCTCGCGTTGAGCGCCGCGGCGACCTTGCGAAGCTGTGCTTCGTTGAGGCGTCGCTTGTCCTTTCTCGGGCCGACCACGGCGTCAACGACCTTGCCTTTGGCTCTGGCTTTGGCTTTGGCGTCGGCGATTTCCTTGTCTCGGCGCTGGCGGTGCGCTGCGTCGGCGACCGCGGCCGCTTGAAGGCGCCGAGCCTCGCGCTCGCGCTTCTCGCTCTCGAGCCGGGCAGCCTTGGTCGCTG